GCTGTACTTACGGCGATTACCGACAGGCCCTTCGCACTGTATCCCATGTTCGTCTTTGTTTTTCATGTTTCTTGTGCAAAGCGTGCCTGTTAAGTCCAATTACCCCATGGGGATGAATAAAGTTTTCTGAATCTGAATCTGAATCTGATCTAAAACATTCATTCATAAATGTATATCATATGATTTTATTTCTTTTTCTCAGTATAAATAACACGTACCCTGACTGTTCTACTCTTTGAATAAAATCACTTCTTTCAAGCATTAGGGAGTGCAAAGGGTTATGATGGAGGGGTGTTGCAAATCATGAGGACCTGCCAAGTGGTATGATAGCATTGTTTTATACATGTCCTTGGCTCGGCCTCAGTTTCAAAATCAGTCCTTGGTCCTTGGCCTTGGCCTCGGAAGCAAGTCCTTGGTCCTTGTCTTTGGCCTCGGAAAATTTCTCAAGTCCTTGGCCTTGGCCTTGCCTCGGAAAATTTTCCAAGTCCTTGGCCTTGGCCTTGGCCTCGGAGGCAAGTCCTTGGCCTTGGCCTTGGCCTCGGGTTGCCGGTCCTTGGACACAACACTGATGTTCTGTTACCGGACTTCTGTGGTCATCACAGATTGTTAACAATGAACACCATATTCAAATATACTGCTGTCCATATGTACACACCACCCGAGGCCGCAGTTCGATGATTAATTTTGTAGTTGTGTCGTCGGATTTGAGGCTGCATGTTTTGGATACTCAGATGAAGAGAGGGGCGGAGCTGTCAACTGATAACCATGGTTGGCTCCGATGGTGGGGGAAGATGCCGATCCGATTGTGCAGATCCAAACTTATTGTGAGGGTTTGCTGGCAGAGTACCCTGTCAGAAAGTCATGCACCGAAGAGTGAATCATGTTGTTTAGCTCTAATCAAGGAATCAGAGGACAGAAAATTGTCAAATCACTGGGTTAATGCTTATGATAGTGGTTGGTCCAGCAGAGGAGGTCTTGGAGGCTCAACATTGGTTGGCCTTCATTGCAGTCAACACAACTCTAGAGTACATTTTATATTTGGACACTTTGCCGACACGGTGTTTGACTGATTAGTACTGGATGTTGGGCTCACAGTGCAGAAGTGCAGGGTTCGATTCTGGCTCCGGCCTCCCTGTGTGGAGTCTTCATGTCCTCCCTGTGCCTGTGTCGGTTTTCCCCAGGTACTCATGTTTCCTCTCACATTCCAAAAACACGCATGTGAGGTCAGTGAATAGTTGTTTGTCTTTGTGTGACCTGCAATTGGCTGGCAACCAGGTCAGGCTGTCCCCCGCCTACTGCTCAAAGACAATTGGGATAGGCTCCAGCGCGCCCACGACCCATGTGTGGATAAGTGGATGAAAAAAATGGATGGATGGATAGATAGATTATAGATACTTTTGCTGCAGTTTATTTTTATTTTTATTTGAATAGACATTGGTGGGATCACCAATCATTGTGATTTGTTGATGGCAAGCCCACATTGATGAGAATGTCTGATACCGTTTACGCTAGTCACTGTGGCAGAAACAACAAACAATGAATTTTTTGCATATTTTTATCCTATTTTATACTGCCATGGCACATATCCAAATTGTGCCACTTAAAAAGAAAACTGAATTGTGTCATTTAAACCATGCAGCGTAAATCCAGCCTTAGTTTTGTGCCGACAACTGAAGCATTGTCTGGTGACCAGAGCTGAATCTCAATATCTGCTGTCTGACAACGACAATCGCACTTGTCAACACAAATGGGCGGGAGAAGTGAGTCTTGGGTGTGGAACTCGAGGCTGTCCTCTATTTCTTTTGACACAGGCCGAATACTGACTCTGATATGCCTCTGATCATATCTCAGAAGCTGGGTCAGGAAAAAGCCAGCTTTGACTGGAAGTGTAAAACTGGCCACAAATGAAGAGCAACAAGTGATTTCCAATGTTGTTGTTGTTGTTGTTTTTTTTTTTTTTTTTTAATTTTCCATATTTGAAATATTTAAATTAATTAAACTACCATAGCGCACTATAGGGCGCACCAAAAAGTTCCATTTTCTTAAAAGCTCACGGAGCGCCTTAAAATCCGGTGCGTCTTTTGTATGGTCATTACGGTAATATGTCGACTTCAAGATGGCTCCTTACTGGAGACATGCTTCCAATGTTATAACTTGCGATTGGTTCAGTGAACTGTGTCGCTGCTTTATTAAATAAGTTTGTGTTGCAGCTCCGAAAAACGGAGAGCTGTGGTGTTCATTTTTTAAAACAGTCTCAACAAATACAGGTACCGTATTTTCACGACCATTCGGCACACCGTATTGTTGGGCGCAGTCTCAGTAACAGGTGCTATTTCTGTATTTGACACATACACAAAACGCACTGTATTATTGGGCGCAGCCAGGCATGGTAAAACATACGGCAGCTTAAACATACGGCATGCATGCACGCACGCTAAAAACACGTTAGCTTGAAGCATACGGTAGCATGCATGCACGCTAAAACATACCAGGTACGTTAGCTTAAAGCAGACCGTAGCAGCTAAGACATACGGACACACGCTAAAAACACGTTTTTAAAAAGGCAACGGAAGCAAAACTGAGTTCGATTGTACTTTATTTAGCTATTTTACAACGTACTCACGCTACTGGTACCTGCGAGGGACGTGCCTTTAGCGTCCTCTTACACGCCTACCCTTCACTCATTGGAGA